ACATTACACCAATCGAATATACACTATATTGCCGAAAGTGTTGGGACACCGCTCCAAATCATTGGATTCAGGTGTTCCAATCACCTCTATGGCCACAGGTGTATAAAATCAAGCACATAGGCATGCAGACTGCTTCTAAAAACATTTGTGAAAGAATAGGTCACTCTCTGGAGCTGAGTGAATTCAAGTTTGGTACCGTGAGAGGTTGCCACCTGTGCAATAAGTCCATCCATGAAATTTCCTTGTTACTAAATATTCCATAGTCAACTGTTATTGGTATTGTAACAAAGTGGAAGCAACAGGCAACAACAGCAACTCAGCAACGAAGTGGTAGGCTGCGTAAAATGACAGAACGGGGTCAACGCATGCTGAAGCGCACAGCGCAGAAGTCGCCAACTTGTTAAGTTATAGGTTTAATATAATTCAGAATTGGAAACTGTATAAAAACAAATGTAATGTGTTTGTGTACTGTATATTTTTTATTATGTTTAGGGATACAAAAAATTAAACTTGTGCCAGAATGGTTAAGGTTGTTGAAGTTACAGACATTGCTAAAGAAGTGTTTCATATACAGAAGTGTCAATTTAAAAAAAATCTAAGTAAAGGTGAGGAGAGCTGGAGGGTATAACAATCTAGAGTGTGCTGGAGATGAGTGTGGATTGGATGACTGTAGAAAATATGTATAGGAAAAGAGGGCTGAAGGGTAATGCAGTGTGCAGTATGTGCTGAAGTAGACTGTTGGGGGTCGAGAGTGCAAAGTGCTTCAACATCAGTGCTCATAAAGAGGAAAAAATGCCACGATATTGCTGGTCAATGCAGCAGGAGGGGGAAGGATAGCTCAGTACTGGGTAGCAGAAAAGGAAAATATCTTGAAGTTGGTGATTGATGGGAGAACAAAATGCCCCAGTAATGATAGTGAGTGGAGGAAACAAAATGTTGCAGCAGTGATGGGCAGTGACGAGAAGTGCCCCAGCGTCAGTGTCCGATATGAGGAAAGAATTGCTTATTGTTCATTGAGCACTACAAGCCGTCAGCCACAAAGGCTGTCAGTACTTGTAGCTGATTATTCCACAGAACTCTGAATGAATGCTGCGGCCATGTGGCTGAAGTGACAGCGGGTGCAAGGAGAAGATCCCTGTCCTGCTGTCACAAGGAGAGGGTCATGTGGTTGCAGCAGCTGTAACATGTTACATGTTCCACCCTAAAAACAGTTGGAACATGTAACATGTTCCCAAAGGTAAATTTATCTTTTAAGTCCCATCTTTTCATTCAGTTTTTTTTTTAACTTTCTTTATGAGGCTCTTTTTGGTTTTAAACATTTTCAGCTGTGAGCATAGTGTCATCTGTATACTGAAGATGACATAGTTACATAATTAGTACTATTAGTAACGTGTGTGTGTGTGTTTATGTCAATACCAATTTCCATATCCCTGTACTATTGTGTTTGCTTGAGAAGAGGAGATTAAGGGGGATATGATCAACATGTATAAATACATCAGTGGTTTATATAGTGAACTCGGTGTAGAGCTATCCACCCTGAGGTCATCATAGAGGACAAGGGGGCACTCTACATCTGGAGAAAAAGAAATTTAATCTCCAAACACGAAAGGTTTCTTCAGAGTGAGAACTTTGAAATTGTGGAATAGACTCCCTCAAGAGTTGGTTCTGGCCAGCTCAGTGGATTGCTTTAAAAAAGGCCTGGATTCTTTCTTAGATACACAGAATATAACTGAATACTAACATTTATAGGTAAAGTTGATCCAGGGAATATCTGATTGCCTCTCAGGGATCTTTGCTGCAGGAGCAAATTGAATCATGCTTTGCTGTTTTTTTTTGCCTTCCTCTGGATCAACTGTGGGTATATAATTATAATTTTTTTTTAATGGTTGAACTGGATGGACGTTTGTCTTTTTTCTGCCAGACTAACTATGTATGTAACTATGTAACCACTTTAAAATGTTTTCTTTTAAATTTATCTAAACTCCCCAACTTTTTAGAAACCTCTAACATTTTTTTTAAAGCTTGCCTTCTCTCATTCTATGTTCCGCACACAAGTTTATTAAATATGATGCCATCTTGTCTACCTCCACAGAGAATCTTGAACTGTGTTTACAATTTCTGTCAAAACTCTGGCTTTTTGATCAGTGTGTGGCTTTTTGATCAGGTTCTGTTTAAGAAAAATGAAATGTTTGGGTACACCCATTTTCTTGAGAGTTGTTCATAATTTCACATGGCTGACACAGTTGGAGGCTTTGTTGTAACAAATAGATCACTTATTGACTTTCTTCTTGTACTCTGACTTTTATGGTAATCCAGCAATATCTCTAGTTCTTCTGCCTTTTCCAAATCCAGCTTGAACATCTGATAATTCACTTAATGTAAGACTTTAGTTGGATAATCTTCAGCATAATCTTGCTGGAGTGTAATATCAGGGAAATTGTTAATAATTCGTGCATTCTTTCAGGTCTTCTTTCTTAGGAATATAAACTGTTATCTTCCTATCTGTCAGTCTTTGATTGGTTTCTCAGACTTCTTGGCATAAATTCAGCACTTTGATTCTTGTTCAGTTGCTTGCAATATTTCCAATGCAATGTTATCAATTCCCATGGCTTTCCTATGATCTCAATGTCAATCTGACCTAACTTTCTATGTCTCAGAAAAACATGTCTGGGGATTTCCTATATGTTCCTTCCATTTTTGCCTAGTCTCAGTTCCAATAAAGTAAAATTAAAGGCAAAACTTTTTTTATTTCTTTGGACAGTAAATGAGGGGTATAACCTGTGTCAGTTTCTTTTGTTGCCATCTGTGTTTCATTAGGGAGGTTTCTCTTTACTTCCTGTCCCATAGGCAAAATAGGAAGTGAGAGGAAACCTCTTCAAAGTAAGAAAATCCCTGGTCATCCAGGTCGTCACTAGAACTAGTGTTACCATTGGAAGGTTCCCCCTCCTTCTATTCTGGTGACAACCCACAATTTGGGATTTTCTTTCACTTTCACAGTCAATGATAATGGTAAATAGGACAAATAGAGAGGGTGAATCTCCTTAATGGAAAAACCTGACAGGTGTTGTAGTCCCTTCTCCACTCTTTGTTGCCTTTAGATATACTTTAATAATAATTTCTCCATGGGCATATTTGAGCATACAAATGAAAATACCTATGACAGAACTATGCAGACAGTGCTAGGTCAAGACATTAAGGATGTTCAGTAGAGAACCTGTGCCAGGTGATGAAACTTAGATCTCTGCAAAGAGGTCTGCCAGGATAATTACAGGGCATTACATGGGAGGGTTTTCTTAAACATAGATTGGTGTTAAGTTATCTAGAACCTCCGGGGAGTTTTATAAGGATGTCATTTATACATTTTATTTCAGCCCTTAAACAGTATAATACCAGATACATTACTTGGTCAATTTCTGGATCTTGGTCTTTTTTTTCACAAATATCTTTATTACTGTAGAAATACTTCACCAAGTACAGAGCAAAAACAGCTACAGCATATGCCAGGAAAGTTTCAATCATAAAAAAAGAAACAAGAAAAAACAACCCCAATCTATCGTAAGCACACAATTACAAGATTGTCATTGTGCAACTGGACAAAGTGTTCATCTAATATGCATAAACCCAAATAAATAGAATTCTTAACTCGGTCTTACTTGATTTGGATTAAGGACTCCTTATGAACTGGTCAGGCTGGGCCTTCGTCCAGTGGTGAATTTAGGTTTTGTGCTGCCCTAGGCAACACAAAAATTGTCTGTCCCCACGGACACCATCCAACACCCCTGCCCCCCACCTGGGAGAGCCTTCCACTAACCCCGCCTTCCCCGGCGATAGAGAGAAATACACTCACCTTCACAGCTCCAGACATCCCCAGGAATGAGAGTCAGGCTCTACCTACACCATCAAGCAGCCCGCAGCCTCTCTCAGATCCCACCTGGTTCTCATGGTGTGTATGTCCCTTCTTTCATCCCTTCTTCTGGGGGGAGGTGCTGCCCCCCTGAAAAATCCCGCCCTAGGCAAGTGCCTTGTTTGCCTTGTGGTAAATACACCCCTGCCCTCGCCCCTACCATTATGTTTGGTTTTGGCTATTTAAAAGGTTTTGTCTTGAGTCCATTGCGTTATGCCTTATACACCTGTGATTGTATCTCAATTCATTCCACTAATGCCATCATTAAATTTGCAGAAAACACTATGGTGGTAGGAGGGAGGAGATGAAAGGCTTAGAGAGAGGGGTTCAAAACATGGCTTAGTGATATTCAGAAAATAATCTGACTTTAAATATTGCAGAAATGAAAGTTATTATTGATTTCAGGAAGCATTGGATAGGTTTGGCCCCACTCTACAATACTAAGTAGGATTGTGTGGAAGGGGTTACTTCCTTTAAATTCTTGAGAATTATCTTGGTCCACTAATAATATTGCAGTTAATGAGAAAGCACAGCAGTGACTACAATTCCTGTGAGTGCTAGAAGGAAAACGTGTCTTTTTAACGCTTTTTTATTGAGCGCATACTAACGTACTGGTTTTTGGTGTGCTATGCTTGTTGCTTGGTAGCAGACAAGAGTGTTCTTCTAAAAGGTATTAGTACTGCACAGAACTGGCTTCTTTGACTGATATTTCCAATATCTGTTGGCTCTGTAGTGCAAAGATCATTTTGAAGGATTTCATTATCTATTTGACCTGTTGCCCTCTGGGAAGTGCTACAGGAATATTAAAGTACAGTCTAATAGATTTAGAGTTTCGCTGTCTATCTATAAACGTATTGAATGGTAGTAAAATATGGATGATCTCCCTCCTGTAAATGTTGGTAATCAGTTATATGTAAATACAACATGGTAATCTATTTTAAAAGAAATGGGAGTAAAGTTTAATATAAAAAATGTATATGATTGGTTGTAAAATAGCAAAAAAAAATTATATATATATATATATATATATATATATATATATATATATATATATTGTGACAGTGTGGTGATCTGTGACCCTGGATAGACAACAAGGCAGGTTGAGGGGCTCCAGGGTAAAGGTTTGATATGGAGGAAAGTGGCTTTTCATTTTCCTCCTTTGTTTGTAAGGTCTGTTTTGGGATCTGGAGCCTGGAGATTTCAAAGAGATCTGGGAGGGATGAAATCTCCAATCCTGGGACCAGGTTTTGGGATAGGCCAGGAGACTGATTGCACAGGTGTGTGCAGGCCTTTAGAGAGAGTCAGGACCAGGGTTCTGGGCTCCACCCCGGCAGCTAAGAGTCAGCAGGGCTCCACCCCGGCAGTTAGGAGGACTCCACCCAGGCAGACGGGAGGTCTCTGCCGTGGAGTCAGGTGGGCTACACCTAGGAGAGGTGGAAGCCGGACTAGCTGTGTGCTAGTGCCATACTTTGGGAAGAGTCTGCAGGAGGCAGACTTAAAACTGCGTACAAGCCAGGAGGCTGAATACTGTTCATTTGAATTCGTGTGATGGTGGATACCCCTGCGTGGGAAACCTTTATGTTATTGAACTGACATTTAAATAAAAGTGGGCAAACAGGCCCTTAAAAAATAAGCGAGTTGCCGTGTGCTTTGAAGAAGCTCTACCACTTGAAGCGAGGTCCCACATATGGTGGAGGATGCGGGCAGAATTGGAGATCTCAGCGATTGAAGTAAGTTCATCAGTTTATGAACGGTTTGGTGCATAAGTCTGCACTATCTGTGTGTGCAGGTGAGGAGAACCTGCTAAAGAAAAGGACTTTGCCTTAAAGAGACAGTGTTCCATGGTGTTGCTGAACTGTGTAACACACTGCTGTGTGCATGACTGCAAAGATGGGGAGGTCAAAGCAGAAAAAGGAGGCAATGTTTGCTGAAATAGAGAGAGAGAGCCCTGTGGCTAGGGAGTTATGTACCGCATGACCCAGCCAAGCCGGGAAATTTAGATGTGGGTGAGTCTGCTGTGGACTGGTGCAAGCGGCACCTGGCAGCATTGAACCAACCTACAGAGGAAAGCAAGCCAACCTTCAGTGCAAGGAGAGATCTGCAGGATGTCCGTACCTGGGAGAGGGGTGTTGTTGCCCCTGGCAACGCTGCTGCAGTTAAACCAGTAGCTGTTGTGAAAAATGTGAATGTGTCACGGCTTGAGAGTTGGTCCAGCAGAGAGAAGCCCATGCTATGTGCAAGGAGAGGAGCTGACCAGAGGCCAGGACCAAGAGTGAAGGCCCATAGCAACACAGAGGAGGCCAGTCGGGCTGTCTGTGTACAGGGGGCTATGTCGTATAAGGATCGTGGCAAGTGGCATCAAGAGGAGCCAATACAGCATGTTAGCCAGCAAAGTTCTGCTTGGAGAGTGCAATCTCCCATGGCGACCGGAGAAAAAATATTGCCTGGAAGGAGGAGCTGCATTGGAGATGTGGCTCAGTATCCCAATAAAGAGAAGTGCAGAAATATACCCTGCGTGGAATGTGGTCAGTGGGGGCATGGGATATTTTCCTGTCCCACACTCTGGAATACCGCTGATATTGAGCAAATGTCGACAACTGCAAGCCCAGATTCTGGTTTTAAAATGTCAACAACCACCTCTGGCAACAGGGAGGAAGTTTCTGTTGGGCCTGCAGGAGGTGTCAGAGAGTCCATGGAGCCTATGAGGGCGTCTGTTACTTCACCTTGGGGCAAAGGAAACGTTGCCAAGGAAAGTGCAGTTGAGGATGTGTTTATGAGACGACGCACTCAAATGAAGATGGCGACACCTACTACTGTGGTGGGTAAGACTGTGTGTGATAAAACCATGGCTGGGACTGTCATGTTGAGGACTGGTTATGAGACTGTCCATTCTGATGTAGGAGTGACCCCAGTTAGTTGGGCCACTGAACATGCTTTTGAAAGTGACTTTTTCCTGTGCAGTGCCTTGTACAGTGGGGAGTTAGGAGTTAAAGTAAAACCTGTGCATGGTTCTCAAAAAAAGCAAGTGAGGTCACTAATGTGTGCCAGTCACAGGTTGGTAGTAGGCTAGTACAGCCCACAAGAGGTACAAATGTTGATGATGGGAAATGTACTGCTGTTGGGAAAACCCTGAGCTCTTGCAGTGCAAAAGCTGTAATTAAAGATGGGTCATTTCCCCTAGCAACTGGTGGTAAGACAGCACAGGTGTCCTTAGACATCTCCAAGGGTTTCCATGTATTGGAGCCGGAGGTTGCACTGGACAACTGCGATGTCACTCTGGTGGAGCAGAGTGGAACTGCACCTTGTCATAGTAGTGTGTTGGTGCAGTCTAACAATACTGAAAGTGTTCAGGTGAACAGCGGGTTAATGCAGCCTGGGAAAAATGCAAATGTGTGTGTAATTCAGGAAGTATCACCAGAGCAAAATGGTGGATGTGAGATATTGCAACCTGCAGTGGGAAAACAGGTGTTACCCAAGTCAGACGTGATCCAGAGTGATTTGTGCAATGGATCTGCAACTAAGCCCGTCTATTCTTATGTGTCTCCTTGGGAAGATGGTTCAGTGCTGCGGAGCACTGGTGAATTGAGCACATATACAATGGATTGGGATAGTTGGGGTAAAAGGCTAATCTCGTTGTTAGATGAGGCTTTTATGCAAAATAAGGTGGACACTGTTTCTGCTGTGCCAGCAGGAGGATCTATGGAACAGCCTATAGAAAAGGGCGTGCATACAGCAGAGACTTTGTCTGTGACCCACAAAAGTGATGTTGGCATGGAGTGTCAAAATGACGTTGTCACTGGGAATGATCGGGGGCAGCTTGTGGATGCTGAGTCTGAGATGTTGAGAGTGAGCCCAGCACATGGCAGCTCTCTGGTGGAGCACCAGGCTGTGGTTATCTCCAGCTTGGAGGAGGTCCCTTTAAAAATTTCAGCTTCTCAAGTCTCAGCAGGTGAGTCTCTCAGCGTTCCCAGTGCCCTAAATATGGTCAGGAAGGTCTTAGGTCTAGAGTCAAGTGGTTGGGTTGTAACCAAAGTATTAAAGGAGATGCTTGAACTTTGGAATGTACAACCAATGTATACTGGGGTGTCTCCTCCACAGTCAGATGGTCTGGTACTGCGGAGTACCACTAGGTGGAGCACCGAATGGCTGGCTGTACATATCAAACGGAAACAAGAAAGTGGTTTATTTCTGAATTTGTTGATGGTGTTAAAAGTTGTATCAGGGTATGCCGCTGGATTACCTGTAAATGTGATAGATGAGAAATGTTTTGGAGAAATGAAAAATGAGTCAAAGCTTTCACCTCCTAACAGCCAGGTGGGAAGCATTTCTGCTGCTATGGTCCAGGATGGTGCTGGTCAGCTGTCAGTGAAGGGCGTGTTGACTGCACCATTGGACAAACCACATGAGATGGAAGGGCCGAGCATGGACCAGAGAACAGCAGAGATCCTGACCAGGGCTCAAATGGATGTGCATCAAGAAATCAGGGTCATTGGGCCAAAAAGAGATTTATGTAGCAGGTCTGATAAGACACCTGAAATACAGGGACAAATGGTATGTGAAAACTGGCAAAATAGGTCAGAAGAGAGCTCATCTGTTCAGGATTTGGATACAGATCCAAGTGGTGTAGAAAAAGTTAAAATGGTGGGACAGCCACCTGCAGAGTGCATGACACCAGGTGAAGTGGCATTTTGTGAGGTTCACGTGGGTGATGGCTGCCCTATGGTGTGTGTGCCCTCTGCAGACACTGTCCTAACAAATGCTGGAAAAGATATTGAAAGGTGTAATATTGACTGGAATATAACCGTTCATGGTAAACTGAATGCTGTGGTAATGAGTCATGCAGGTTTGATAGCTAAAGGTACAAGAAATCAGGGGGGTGGTCCTGGTACAAATACAGTAGAAATAGTTTCCCTACAGCCTTGGGACAGTAATACTGAGAGAGGTATTAGGAAACCTGAGCACCTGAAGCAAAGGGGCAGAAAGGTCGATAGAAAGGCCAGGGGGACCCAGTTAGGATTCAAGAGAGAAAGTGTTTATGGAAATGCACCCGGAAAAAGAATAGGGAAAGTCTGAGTAGAGCCCATAGCAGAGTGACAATGGGGCTTGGGGAGAGACACCAAAGGAGTCATTGGGTAGAGTTCCCTTTTAGGAAAGGTATGGTCAGACCAGATTGGACCCCTGTAAGTGAGAGCTGGCACAGAGGTGCCAGAAGGTATAAGTTGTGTGTTCTGCCCCATAGCAGAGTGACAATGGGGCTTGGGGAGAGACACCAAAGGAGTCATTGGGTAGAGTTCCCTTTTAGGAAAGGTATGGTCAGACCAGATTGGACCCCTGTAAGTGAGAGCTGGCACAGAGGTGCCAGAAGGTATAAAGTTTGTGTGTTCTGCCCCCTACGGGATCAAAACAAAGGGGGGGGATATGTGACAGTGTGGCGATCTGTCACCCTGGATTCTCAACAAGGCAGGTTGAGGGGCTCCAGGGTAAAGGTTTGATATGGAGGAAAGTGGCTTTTCATTTTCCTCCTTTGTTTGTAAGGTCTGTTTTGGGATCTGGAGCCTGGAGATTTCAAAGAGATCTGGGAGGGATGAAAACTCCAATCCTGGGACCAGGTTTTGGGATAGGCCAGGAGACTGATTGCACAGGTGTGTGCAGGCCTTTAGAGAGAGTCAGGACCAGGGTTCTGGGCTCCACCCCGGCAGCTAAGAGTCAGCAGGGCTCCACCCCGGCAGTTAGGAGGACTCCACCCAGGCAGACGGGAGGTCTCTGCCGTGGAGTCAGGTGGGCTACACCTAGGAGAGGTGGAAGCCGGACTAGCTGTGTGCTAGTGCCATACTTTGGGAAGAGTCTGCAGGAGGCAGACTTAAAACTGCGTACAAGCCAGGAGGCTGAATACTGTTCATTTGAATTCGTGTGATGGTGGATACCCCTGCGTGGGAAACCTTTATGTTATTGAACTGACATTTAAATAAAAGTGGGCAAACAGGCCCTTAAAAAATAAGCGAGTTGCCGTGTGCTTTGAAGAAGCTCTACCACTTGAAGCGAGGTCCCACAATATATACACACACACATATATACATATACACACACACATATATATATACACACACACACACACACATATATATATACACACACACACACACATATATATATACACACACACACACACACATATACTCAAACACACTATATTGCCAAAAGTATTGGGATGCCTGACTTTACACACACATATGAACTTTAATGGCATCCCAGTCTTAGTCTGTAGGGTTCAATATTGAGTTGGCCCACCCTTTGCAGCAATAACAGCTTCAACCCTTCTGGGATGGCTGTCCACAAGGTTCAGGAGTGTGTCTATGGGAACGGTTGACCATTCTTCCAGAAGCACATTTGTGAGGTCAGGCACTTATGTCGGACGAGAAGGCTTGGCTCACAGTCTCCACTCTAATTCATCCCAAAAGTGTTCTATTGGGTTGAGGTCAGGACTCTATGCAGGCCAGTCAAGTTCCTCTACCCCAAACTAGCTCATCCATGCCTTTATGTACTTTGCTTTGTGCACTAGTGCTCAGTCATGTTGGAATAGGTAAGGGGCATCCCCAAACTCTTCCCACAAAGTTGAGAGGATGAAATTGTCCAAAATGTCTTGGTATGCTAATGCCTTAAGAGTTCCCTTCACTGGATCTAAGTGACCAAGCCCAACCCTGAAAGACAACCCCACACCATAATTCCCCTCCACCAAACTTTACACTTGACACAGTGCAGTTAGGCAAGTACCATTCTGCTGGCAACTGCCAAACCCAGACACTTCCATCGGATTGCCAGACAGAGAAGCATGATTGGTCACTCCAGGGAAAACATCTCCGCTGCTCTAGAGTCCAGTGGAGGTGTGCTAAACCACTGCATCCGACTCTTTGCATTGCACTTGGTGATTAAAGGCTTGGATGCAGCTGCTCGGCCATGGAAATCCATTCCATGAAGCTCTCTACGCACTGTTGTTGTGCAAATCTGAAGGCCACACGAAGTTTGGAGGTCTTTAGCTATTGACTCTGCAGACAGTTGGCAACTTCTGTGCACTGTGCGCTTCAGCATGGGCTGACACACCACTTGGTGGCTGAGTTGCTGTTGTTCCCAGTTGCTTCCAGTATGTTATAATACCACTAACAGTTGAGTGTGGAATATTTAGTAGCAAGGAAATATCACAGATGGATTTATTGCACAGATGGCAACCTATCACAGTATTGAATTCACTGAGCTCCTGAGAGTGACCCATTCTTTCACAAATGTTTGTAGAAGCTGTCTGCATTCCTAGGTGCATGATTTTATACACCTGTGGCCATGGAAGTGATTGGAACACCTGAATCCAATGATTTGGAGGGCTGGTCCAATACTTTTGGCAATATAGTGTATATACAGTATATATACACACAAACAAACATGAGGGGAGTTCAAGTCAAACCAGAACCTTTTAATTTTACAGGTATAAAAAAAGAGTGCTAGCATGCCGGTCCTTTATGCAGTAATAAGTGGCAAGTGTGTCCTGTTACTTATAGGGGGCGCACATGTTGCAGGCCAGTCCAGAGACCAATAATCAAGATGGCAGAGAACAATGTTAATGAGTGCATGGAACAGCATGTGGTGATGTAGTTTCTTGTGAAAGAAGGTGTAAAACCCGCAGATATCTACAAAAGACTTCAAGCACAATATGGTGATGAAACGCTCAGCCAGAGTAAGACATTTGAATGGTGTAAACATTTCAAAGATGGCCATACGTCTGTCGGCATGAGGACTCACCACCACCGAAAATTTTTTGAAGAATTGCGTCTGCAGTTAAAGCAAGTGTTTTCTGGGACAAACGGGGCATTATTCATATGAATTTTCTACCCCGTGGTGCCACTATCAACAATGAATATTACTCTTATGTTGTGCATACTGTATGCATCTGTTGAAAAAACTGCTTGGTTTGATCACTAAGGGCATCCTGTTTCTCCAACAAAACACACGAGCTCATACTGCTCACTGCACTACATGCACATAACAGCAACACAGCTGGGAGATAGTACCATATCTCCCTTACAGCCCGGACCTCACTCCAAGTGATTTCCACCTGTTTGGACCCCTAAAAGAGTTCCTCGGAGGTCAGAATTTCAGCACTGATGAAGTGAAGCAGGCTGTCCTAGGATGGTTCAGGCATACTGATAAATCTTTATATGCCAAAGCTTTACAGGCATTAGTTACAGAAACAATTGAGTACTGTCCAGGCATTAGTTAAATGCTGGGATAAGTGTATACATGTAGCAGGGAAGTACTGTATGTAGAACAAAAATTGCAGTTTCCACCTTGAAATTTGTTCTTTTATTATATAAACTCAAAAGTCCCGGTTTGACTTGAACTCCCCTCGTATATACAGTTGTGGCCAAAATTATTCAACCCCCAATGCTGTAAAGGGGTTTAGGGACTATAGTGTACATTTGGAATTGTATTCAGAATCAAATCCTACAAGGACGTTGTAACTACCCAAATGCAACTAAAATGACATCAATTGTTTATGTAATACAGTAGTAAATGGTTCTTATGTGGTTTCTTCATTGCCACAATTATTCAACCCCTTAAAGACTACCACTCTGAAGAACAAGGTTCATACAGGTGCTTTCCATCAGGTATTGAAAACACCTGTGGATGTCACCGAGCAGCAATCAAGCATAATAAGCACCAATTAGGCAGCTTTAAAATGACTGTGATACTCAGCTCCTTCTAGACATTTACTGGTGTGGTTACAAACATGGTGAAGGCAAGAGAATGGTCCAGGAAGACAAGAGAAGAGGTGATTTCTCTTCACAGGAAGGGCAATGGCTATAAGAAGATTGCAAAGATGTTAAACATACCAAGAGACACCTTAGGAAGCATCATTCGCAAATTCAAGGCAAAGGGCACTGTTGAAACGCTACCTGGTCGTGGCAGAAAGAAGATGCTGACTTCGACTGCTGTGCGCTACCTGAAGCGTAGAGTGGAGAGAAGTCCCCGTGTGACTGCTGAGGAACTGAGAAAAGATTTGTCAGATGTGGGTACAGAAGTTTCAGCCCAGACAATAAGACGCACACTGCGTAATGAAGGCCTCCGTGCCAGAACTCCCAGGCGTACCCCCTTGCTGTCTCCAAAGAATAAGAAGAGTCGACTGCAGTATGCCAAAAGCCATGTGGACAAACCACAAAAAAGTTGTGGGATAGTGTTCTGTGGACTGATGAAACAAAATTAGAACTGTTTGGGCCCATGGATCAACGCTATGTTTGGAGGAGGAAGAACAAGGCCTATGATGAAAAGAACACCTTGCCTACTGTGAAGCATGGTGGAGGGTCAATCATGCTTTGGGGCTGTTTTGCTTCTGCAGGTACAGGGAAGCTTCAGCGTGTGCAAGGTACCATGAATTCTCTTCAGTACCAGGAGATATTGGATTGAAACGTGATGCAGTCCGTCACACACCTGAGGCTTGGGAGACGTTGGACCTTTCAACAGGACAATGATCCCAAGCATACCTCCAAGTCACTAGAGCATGGTTGCAGAGGAAAGGCTGGAACATTTTGGAGTGGCCATCGCAGTCACCAGACTTAAATCCGATTGAGAACCTCTGGTGGGACTTAAAGAAAGCAGTTGCAGTGCGCAAGCCTAAGAATGTGACTGAACTGGAGGCCTTTGCCCATGAAGAATGGGCGAAGATACCCGTAGATCGCTGCAAGACACTTGTGTCAAGCTATGCTTCACGTTTAAAAAGCTGTTATAACTGTAAAAGGATGCTGTACTAAGTACTAAGATTGAATGTCACTTGGGGGTTGAATAAAACTGATAATGCTGTGAGCACAGAAAAGACATTTGTGGTTATTTCATTATAACTGTTATGTTATATTTGTCTGACCTACAAGTGCCTCTTTAATGTAAATGTAAGCAAGATGACTGAATGATCAAAAGCAATGTCAAACTGGCCAAAACACTCAATTTCAGTGGGGGTTGAATAATTTTGGCCACAACTGTATACACTGCTGATAAAAAATTAAAGGAACACTTTGAAAACACATCAGATCTCAATGGGGAAAAATATCATGCTGGATATCAATACTGATATGGACTGGGTAATATGTTAGGAATGTAAGAATGCCCCATCATTTGATGAAAATGATCAACCTACAGAAGAATGAATTCAAATTCAAAGACATTCAAAGACACCCCCAAAAAAAATTATGCAGCCGGCTAGTCCATTTTGCTGAAATTTAATTGCAGCAACTCAAAATGGTACTCAGTAGTTTGCCCCCCACGTGCTTGTATGCATGCATGACAACATCGGGGCATGCTCCTAATGAGATGACAGATGGCGTCCTGGGGTATTTCCTCCCAGATCTGGACCAGGACATCACTGAGCTCCTGGACAGTCTGAGGTGCAACCTGGCGGCATTGGATGGACCGAAACATGATATCCCAGATCCCTACCACCAAAACAGTCATGCTGAACGATGTTACCGGCAGCATAACATTCTACAGGGCTTCTCAAGACCCTTTCATATCTGTCACCCTCATGAAGTCTGTTTCTGATTGTTTGGTACAAGACATTCACACCAGTGGCCTGCTGGCGGTCATTTTGTAGGGCTC